GTGTGTGTGTGTGTGTGTGTGTGTGTGTGTGTGTGTGTGTGTGTGTGTGTGTGTGTGTGTGTGTGTGTGTGTGTGTGTGTGTGTGTGTGACAAGGGAGCCTTTCGTTGTGCATGTTTGAAACGGTTGCTTTTTGTGTTGGTTGCGTTTACCTTAAACCCGACATGTACGCACACACACACACATGCACACACACATGCACACACACATACACACACACACACACACACACACACACACACGCACACATATGCACAGTGTGCCTTATGGAAGAGGAGCACGACAAGCTTCGCAGCCCCGGATGCGATCACCACCACCACCACCCCATCATCACCCACCACAGCCGCCACAACATAGCCACGTGCGCCAGCAGCATCAACCCCCCCTTGGTCCAGGCGTTGAGGGGCCTGTGCCGATGATGCAGCCACCTCAGGGCACACCTTCGTTTGGCTCCTTCTCCTCTTCCGTGTTTGACAGCGTGCCCTGTTTTGTGGGGCAGCACTCGCACGACAATCCCCAGCGGCACCAACGGCAGCACCAACGGCAACACCAGCGGCAGCACAGCGTTGCTGCTTGGCTTGGCCTGTCCTCGTCTTCTTCTCACCAGATGCCTGCCTCTCACCCACACGCAGCACAACGACAGCCACGCGATGCTGACATGATGTGGCAATCCCCAAAGTCCTTCCTGTCCGATTTTCTCCTGTAACTGCTAGTGTGACTGACATGTGTGCGCGTAACTTGGGACGGTGTGCTGAGTTTGTGTGTGTGAGTCGGGCACACGCCTCATCATTTCCAACCACGATCCACACGCCAAGTAAAGCAGTACAAGCCATCGCAGCAAAGACAACAACGACAAGAAGTAGCACAACCACAGCCATGGGTCGAGGAAGAAGACAAGGACAGCAGCGCAAGCAAGATGCAGCAGAGGACACAGGTCAGCTCGTCTGGGTGGATTGTTGTTGTTGTTGTTGTTGTTGTTGTTGTTGTTGTTGTTGTTGTTGTTGTGCTCGCGTGTTCATTCACACACACACACACACACACACACACACACACACACACACACACACACACACACACACACACACACATACACACACACATGCACGTGCACAGGCGGTCGGCGATCGGGTGGATCCAAGTTATCATCCAGAGGCCGAAGACGGGAGTTGGCGCAGGACACAATTCGCATCATGGACGTTAAGAAGTACAACACGGATGACGGCGTGGAGCACGACATCACAGCCAGCCTCAACGCTGCAATCCAGGGTACGCGCGTGTATCTTGATGAGCGCAAGTTCAAAACGCCCCCGTCCAACCCTGCCCACATTCTGGGCTGTCCCGACGTGAAGCAATGCAACGCATCGCCACCTGCAGGCACAGCAGCGACCACCTTCGAGGTCACCGACGAGACGACAGTGGCTGCCATCGAGCGACTCGGCAAGACCTACAAGCGCATTGGCGTGCTCAACTTTGCCTCTGCACGCAACGCCGGCGGAGGCTTCCAAAGGGTACGCACGACCTTTCACCTTGTGTGTGTGTATGTCTGTGTATGTGAATGTGTGCATATGTGCGCATATGTGTGCATATGTGTGTACATGGTCATGTGTCGCCACAGATGCCATCCGGTTCCTTTTTCCTTCCAGACATCGCCCACACACACACACACACACACACACACACACACACACACACACACACACACACACACACACACACACACACACACACACACACACACACACACACACACACACACACACACACACACACACACACAGGGGTCGCTGGCGCAGGAAGAGTCGCTTGCCCTGTCGAGCGGGCTGTTTGCCTGCCAGACAAGTCCCATTGGCGAGCCGTACTACACGCTGCACAACAAAGTGCGCGATACACGCTACTCCAACACCATGCTGTACTCTCCTGCCGTCCCGTTCTTCCGCCACGACGACGGCGACCTCTGCGCACCGTACCCGGCTGACGTGCTCACCTCCGCTGCGGTCAACGCCGGCGTGTGCAGGAAGCGTGGCATCTTCAATGCGGAGATTGTTGCGCTCATGCGCGAGCGCATTCGCCGTGTGCTCGCCGTCTTCGCTGCCGAGGGCAACGACGTGCTTGTGCTCGGGGCCTTTGGGTGTGGCGTGTTTGGCAACAACCCACACGACGTTGCCAAGGTGTTTCGCCAGCACCTGCAGGACGGCGGCGCGTTTGAGTCTTTGTTCAAGCACGTGACCTTTGCCATTCCAAACAGGGACAAGGGCGCGAATGGCCTTTCGTTCGTGCGCGTGTTTGCAGACACGTACGAGCCAAGCAGCAGCGATGACGACGACGACGACGACGACAGCGACAACGAGGCCCATGATGTAGAGCTTGGACATGCTGATGCCAATGTCGGCGATGCTGGCGATGCTGGCGATGGTGATGGGACGATCAGCCAGTCAGAAGGTGCTGGCGATGGCGATGGCGATGGTGATGGTGATGGCACCAAGCAACCACAGCAGCAGCAGCAGCAGCAGCAGCAGCAGCAGCAGCAGCAGCAGCAGCAGCAACAACAACACAGCTCATGGGCAACAAGTGGAGACTTCAAATGAATTGCAATGGACTGCGGGTGTTGCTGTCTCTTCTGATCTTGGGTGTCAGTTGTGCATGAATTCATTTAATGGCGTGGCGATGTACATCTTGTTGCTGGCTTGCGCGCTTGCTTGTGCTTGCTTGTGCTTGCTTTCATTACCCAAGTGAATGAACAGTGGAGTCTTGTTAGAAATGCACGTGCATCCGCACTGACGCACGCCCAGGGCTGCGTCATCACAGCATGCGCTGTACAAAGTTGAGGCCAACCTGCAGGGCGCTGCTCTTCCCATCGTCTTCAATCTTCATCTGTCAATAAACACGGGTCGGAAGAAACACACACACATACACATGCGTGAGAACCAACGGTCAGGAGTGTTGTGCACTGCCAACGTCTCCAGGCATCCGCGCGCACGCGCGCGCGCGCGCGCACACACACACACACACACACACACACACACACACACACACACACACATTCTCTCTTGACAAGCATGACGCAGAATTCAGCAGATGTACACACGAGGGGTGACAGGCGAACACTCACGTCGTAGTGATATGGCAGCTGATCAATGCTAATGTCAACAGCGCTTGGCATCTCAGCTTTCTTGCTCACGTGAGGCAAGTGGCGTGTCCACCTGCACAGTGTGCGTGTGTGTGTGTGTGTGTGTGTGTGTGTGTGTGTGTGTGTGTGTGTGTGTGCAATCAAAGCACACCAAGCGTCAAGTGGTGTGTGTACGTATGATGACCTCGACTCGACAAACTTTGCACCAACGTGCTGCATCAACACTGACAATTGCCGCACCACCGTGCAGGCACATCATTCTCACGTTGTCACGTTGTAGATAATCTCGTTGAGCTGCTCAATCACAGCGTTTGCCGCAAACTCCTTGGCTTCGGCCTCGCTGACGCTTTCAGCAGCTGCACACGGTGTCAGCACGCTCATTGTTAACACGCGCACGGGCACACCCACACACACACCCACCACACACACACCACCACACACACACACACCACACCACACCACACCACACCACCACACACACACACACCACAAAACCCGGCGACAACCACTTGAATCTTAAATGGGGGTACTCATGTAGAGGTGGATATGACGAATTCATGCTTATTTCTATTGTCAATCATAGCGGTTTTGAATACTGCACACCGCGTTACGGACGGAAGGTTGTGATAAGTCTGGCCGCGAATCAGACAGATCCTCTAATTAGCAAATCAGTTAATCCAAAGTTGTCTATACTCACGTACACGATGGAAGACTACGGCGGTGAGGAAATGTTGTCGCTTTGATCCTTTGTCATTCCCGCTTTCTCCTGCGTAGTCGCTCCTCTCGGACGCCAGTTGAAGAAAGTCGATTTCCTACAAGACGCATTTATTCCAGAGCGCCCTCAGTGTGTGCTCAGTTGGTTACACCTCCAAACCGCGAAAAAAGCAATGCCGTTATTTAAGGCTTCACACGACGACCACCACGACGACCACCACCACCACCCCACCCACCACCACCACACACACACACACACACACACACACACACACACACACACACACACACACACACACACACACAACCAAACAAACAAACAAACAAAACAAGGTGGCGCTTACTCTTGGTGTCTGGAACTGTGATGACGATTTCCCACTTCTCCCAAACCTCCACCTTCCACTGCATGATACCCTTCGATTTCGTCATGAAACAAAGATTCATCTGCAAGGGACACGGGAGACATACAGCATACGAGGGGGAAAGTGAGCTGACCAGTCACAAAAGAATACAGACACAAACACACACACAACACAGGCACAAACACACACACACACACACACAGGCACAAACACACACACACACACAAATACACACAATCACAGGCACACACACACACACGTACAGTGACTGAGGATGTGGTGTTTGGCTTTCTTCGCTGGAGCTTTTCGTGAAACTGTGTGGCAATGGCATCAATGCTTGAGCGAAGCTTCGCTGACGGGACTTGTGCCTGCGGGAAGATAAACATGCAAGTGAAGTGCACACGCAAGGCGACGTGTCAATGGAGCAGCACGTTCAGCGTGGTACTGCATAGGCAAGCAAAAGGCATTTCGAACAGGCAGATAGGGACAGACACAGAGGTGGATAGAAACGAGTAAAAACCTGCATATTCACACACAACCACAGGTACACAATCGCACAGGCACACGGGCACGAACGCAGACAGACACAGATGCAGCAACAACGTCACTTACGTAGGTAACGGCAAGGCTAGGGCAAGAAGCATCTTGCGGTTTAAAAGTGCCTTCCAACGTTCGGAAGAAGAAGATTGTGTGCAGAAACGCTGCGCATGCAAAGGGAACCAGACAGGCACAGGAATGAGCGGGAGTGCGTGCAAAGGCGAACGCAGCACAGCAAGTGGTTGCACGCAAGCGATGAGCGGGAAGGCCAGGACGCGTGCGCGAAATCACCGATTTGGGTATGCGCGGACAGCACAGACACAGACACACACAGACAGAAGCACGCGCACACACGTACAGTCACAGACACACACACATACAGCCACAGACACACACAGACACACAGACACAGACACACAGACACACATACAGTCACACATACAGTCACACAAACAACACACACAGACACACATACAGTCACACACACAAACAACTCACACAGACAGACACATGCACACAGCATACCTTCGATAATCTCGTAGGCGTACGAGTCTCGCAAGAGTTCCTGTAGATACAGGCAGAAAGTCAAGGGTGATATGCCAGCCAAAAGGAATCAAACGTCATTCACGCAATACCAAACGCCTCGTCCGCCTCATCATCACGATCATCAACAACGACGACGACAAGCCGGATTTCACGTACGCATTTGATGGTGAAGACAACTTCGTGCTTCTTGGACGACATGGTTGGTTGGTTGGTTGGTTGGTTTGCTGTGAGGCTGTCTTCTTTGACTGTGCGGTGTTCAAAGCAACAGCAGCCTCTTTATACGTTGATGATCAATAAGGGAGTGCTGGAATGCTGAATGAGAAGCCCTTTCATCGACAACAGCCACGTCGGGTGGATGAATTGGTGCTTGTGTTCGTGGTCTGCTCCTTTGTTTTTTGTTTGGGTTTGCAACAGCTGTCGACAACACCATGAAATGTAGCTAAATTTGTTTGGGATTCGTCGTTTTTTTCTTTTTGAAACCTTCGCGCGACTGGAGGATGGACACGACAGCAGACGTTCACAATTTTCTTTCATGGTGCTTGCATGCACAGTGCCCGGCAACGAGCGAAATCGCGCGGCAGCGGCCCTGCAGCAAGGACCGGTTGTTGCCGTGATGGCGTGCTGGCTGGCCAGTTGTGTTGATGTCGTAAAGAAGCAACCCGAGTTGCTGCGCTGATATTGATTGCTGTTCCACGAGCAAGCGGCACAACAGCACAGCAAGACCAGCCAGCCAGAACTTGGAAGTCGGCGGCATCTGCTCCATGCAGCACTGCTTGCTTTGTCAACTGCCAACTGCCTTCCATCAACAGCCAAAGAGTAACACAACATCATCGGCAATCGCACCAAACGCCAACAAACAAGGCAGCACCTGTAAAAGAGCAAGCAAGGCAGCGTATGGCTGACACATGCCCAAGAGAGCCGTGTCTTGCTTTCACATCATAGACGTTGCAACCCGCTGCCAGCTTCCTGCTTGAGTTCTTGTTCGGCACCGCAGCCAACAGCAGCCAACGGCAGCCAACAGCAGCCAACAGCAGCCAACAGCAGCTTCATCTATCATCACCGACTGACGTGACACCAAGGCGACTATCCTCGCTCTCAACACTTAAGCATTATTGCTCCCATCTTCGAACAGACAAGCACACACAGACAGATACACACAGACAAATACACACAGACAAGCACACACACAGACAGACACAGCTGCGATATGAGGCGAGCTGGCCTGCTGTCGCTGGCTGCTCCCTCTGTTCTTGCTCTTGTGCTTGCGCTGCAGCTGGCCTGGCTGCCGACGAGCGTGGATGCGGCAGGCGCGTGCGGCGATGTCGTGTTCCTCGTGGACGAGTCCGCCTCACAGAGCTCTGTGCCTTTCTTCGAAGCAAAGGCGTCCATCTGGAGCATTTACCAGCAGCTGCAAGACACAGAGGCCCGGTTTGCGGTCATCACGTTTGATAACGACGCCATCACCCAGATAGGGTTCAATAATGACACCAACTTCTTCCAGCGCCTCCTGGCCATCGACCCGCGCGAGCGCACCACCGTGTTTGCTGCCGCCTTTGACGCAGCAAGTGACGCGCTGATTGCGCGGAACACCAGCATTCGGCCTGGCCGCGTCGTGCTCTTTACGGACGGGCTCACCTTCGAGGACAGCGGGCCGCTGCGAACAGCAATCGCACGCATCATCAGCGTGGCCAGCAGCGTCCACGTCCTTGCGGCGGGCGAGCACCTGCGCTTCGCGGTCATCAACAACGTCACGCAGGACGAACCCGACACCGTGTTTCGCCCAGCAACAGAGGATGACCTCGTGGCGAACGTCACAGCCGCCATCCGACAAGACTGTTTGTCAACGAGCACAACCACCCTGACTCCAACCAGCAGCACATCCACATCAACAAGCACCTCAACCTCCACATCAACTTCAACAAGCACAAGCATATCAACCTCATCCAGTACAAGCACCAGCACGAGCACGAGCACGAGCACGAGCACATCAACGTCCGCGAGCACGTCTACGTCGACCTCCACGTCGACCTCCACTTCCACCTCTACCTCCACAAGCACAAGCACAAGCACAAGCACATCGACCTCCACCTCTACCTCAACATCGACATCGACATCGACATCGACATCGACATCTACGTCGACATCCACTTCCACGTCCACGAGCACAAGCACGTCCACGTCCACCTCCACCTCTACATCGACATCGACATCGACATCGACATCGACATCGACAAGCACGTCCACGTCCACATCCACATCCACCTCTACCTCTACCTCCACTTCCACGTCCACCTCAACATCCACAAGCACAAGCACAAGTACATCCACCACAACAAGCACGAGCACGTCTACGTCGACCTCAACGAGTACCAGCACATCAACTTCCACCTCCACCTCAACCTCCACATCAACAAGCACAAGCACGTCTACGTCCACGTCCACCTCGACCTCCACTTCAACATCCACAAGCACGAGCACATCAACAAGCACATCGACGAGCACATCGACATCGACAAGCACAAGTACGTCCACCTCCACCTCCACCTCCACCTCTACCTCAACATCGACATCGACATCGACATCGACATCGACATCTACGTCGACATCCACTTCCACGTCCACGAGCACAAGCACGTCCACGTCCACGTCCACGTCCACGTCCACCTCCACCTCCACATCGACATCGACATCGACATCGACATCGACATCGACATCGACATCGACAAGCACGTCCACGTCCACATCCACATCCACCTCTACCTCTACCTCCACTTCCACGTCCACCTCAACATCCACGAGCACGTCCACGAGCACAAGCACGTCCACGTCAACGTCCACCTCAACATCTACCTCCACGTCGACAAGCACAAGTACGTCTACGTCCACCTCAACGTCCACCTCTACCTCTACATCGACTTCAACAAGCACCTCTACCTCCACCTCGACCTCCACCTCTACCTCCACCTCGACCTCTACCTCTACCTCCACCTCAACGTCCACATCGACGTCGACAAGCACAAGTACGTCTACGTCCACCTCAACGTCCACCTCTACCTCTACATCGACATCTTTATCAACAAGTACGAGCACCAGCACCAGCACATCAACGTCCACCTCCACATCGACATCGACATCTACGAGTACATCAACCTCCACGAGCACGTCAACCTCCTCCTCTTCTTCTTCATCATCATCTTCATCGTCGTCGTCGTCGTCGTCGTCATCAACGCGGCCACACACTTCCACAACGCGAACCCGCACACGCACGACGACAAGGCGAACGACGCGCCCCAGAACCACCACAACAACGACCCGTCCCGTGAATGTGTGCGACGGAGACACGCCAACGCTTGACCACACCGGCGCCATCATCTACTGCGGCCTTGGCGGTCACGCGTGTCCCTTCTACTCTGTCTGTGGCCCAAAGCAATATTGCTGCCCATCTGGCATGAGTACGCCAACACCTTCTCCGCACGCATGCAACGGCGATGAGCTTACCCGCGACAACGCAGGTAACCCCATCTTCTGTAACCGACCTGGGCACGTGTGCCCGTCGCTGTCGTACTGCGGTGCGGAAGATTTCTGCTGCCCCACAGGCATCACCACAACCGCGCCCGCCACAACCACGCGAACCACAACGAGGCGCCCGACAACAACAACACGGAGAACAACTACAACGACGAGGGTTACCAGGCCACCGACAACGAGCACCACCAGAACAACAACGAAGACAAGACCACCGACTACAACCACACCGACAAGGAGACCCACAACAACGACAAGGACAACGACAAGAACGACAACGACAAGAACGACAACGACAAGAACTACAACGACAAGAACGACAACGACAAGAACTACAACAACTACAACGACAACAACAACCACCACAACAACCACCAACAGCTTTGATATGACGATGGACTCGCCGACATTGGATGCAGAGTTCATTCTGGAGTATGTGGGTGACGTTCCTGGGCTGTCCGCAGACAATCCAAACCCGTTTCGGTTTTCAAATGCGTTTGACACAAGCGTCGTGCTTGCACGCTTCCCCGTGTCGACGCTGGAGGAGTGTGCAGTTGCGTGTGTGGAGCGCGCAGGCTGTGACGCTGTCTTCATGTGGGTGCGACCAACAGACCCTGCAGGAACATTGCGGTGCCACCTTCTACCGGACGCAGGTACCGCGGGCGGGGTTCCGACAGGGACATTCTCGCTGAGTTACAGGCGGCGCACCACCGCGCGTGACGAATTCACGCTCGTGCACACGGGAACACAGGACGCGACGACCAGGCCCACGTGTTTCACGACGGCGTTTGATTTCGATGCAATGCTCGACCGCATCATGTTGGAGCCGCAGGACTCTAACGTGGAGGACTGCGCACAAGCCTGCCTCGACAGGCCGGGCGCGTGTCTGGGCTTCTTTGTGTGGTTTAGAAACGCATCGGAAACGCAGTGCATCCTGTTGAGTGACCTGGGCAGCGACGATGGCAGGCGAACGCGCACCGCATCACTGAGTTTCCAGCTCAACTCGAATTCATGACATGGTAGTGAGTGGGTGAGTGGGTGAGTGGGTGAGTGAGTGCGTGAGTGGGTGAGTGGGTGCGTGAGTGGGTGAGTGAGTGCGTGCGTGAGTGCGTGAGTGCGTGAGTGCGTGAGTGCGTGGGTGAGTGAGTTAATGAGTGAGTGAGCGTTAGTTAACAGCAGGATGAAGTGTTTGGAGAAGGCAGGAATGATGTGTAGAGCGTTACCGGTGAAGTGATCCTTGAGCAAGAGCCAATTTGCGTTTGTCTGTTTGGACTGTCAATGCCTGTTTACCCTGTTGTGTGCATATCGATCATCTCAGTGGCTGCGCCTTCCCCCCTCCCCGTCTTCTCTCCATCTGCGTGCGTACAGCGTGCTACAATGTTCCTTTATTCATGATTAAAGACAAGGGCGATCCCGAATCAGTCTATGCGACAAGAATCACAATCAAGAACAAGTCAGCGAGAGAAAGAAGAGACGTAAATAGAAGAGAAAGACAGCAGATCATGCACGCGTTCATCACACAGGCACACACACACACACACACACACACACACAGAGGCACACACAGACACAGGCACACGCACACAGGCACACGCACACACACACACACACACACACACACACACACACACACATACAAGGTCAGACGTCTGAGTCGCTGTCCACATCAACAACAAAGACCACATCAAGCCCGCGTGGGAGGGCGTTCACATCCATATCTGGAGAACGGCTGGACACGACTCTGCATGGTGGTGGTGGTGGTGGTTGGTCGTCTGTCCCTGCAATCCCTTTGTTCGGCCCTTGCGTCGTGTCACGTTGTGCACTGTCCCCACAGTCTGCATCCACTTGATCGACGCCAGCACCACCACGATCACCCCCGTTGTTTGGCTGTGCCAGTTGCAGCGACGGCGCTCTCCCAAGTTGAACTCCGACGCCACCACCGCCATCACCGGCATGACCACGATGCGCACTATCTCCCTTGTTGTCAGCACCTTTGCTGCCGGTCACCCAGGTGTGTTTCGCTGCTGCCTGCGCGGTCATGCGAAGATGCGCGTCTCGCCGCAGGCACCACAAGAGGAAGGAGATACCAGCACGTGATATGCGGCGGTGTATGGAGGGTGGGAGCGGCAGTCTGCTGCTGATGACACGGTTCGCGGTCAGGTCAAGCGTTGGCGCTTCAAAGATGATGTCCCCCGTCATCATGAATGCAAGCACGGCACCCAGGCTCCACATATCTGCCTGGTGCGGGTGGTAGCGGTTGGCCGGTGCTAGCATCTCGGGGCACATGTACGCGTGTGTGCCAACACGGCCTGTCCTGATTGGCGAGGATGGATCCACGCGCACGGCCTCAGTGAAGTCACACAACCTCACCTCAAATGCCAGGCCAGGCATGTGCACGCGCTCGCCTCCTGTCACAGACGGCGGTACTGGTGCGCTGACGTCGTTTTGTATGTGCTGCTGCTGCTGCTTCTGCTGCTGCTGCTGCTGTTGTTGTTGTTGTTCTGAAGGGTGGCGCTGTAAAGGAAGGTCCTTCTGCAGCCAAGACGCGCGAGCAAGCTGCTCCCCGCTGCTCCCGATTCCCGCTTCATCATCATCATCACCACCATCATCAGGTGCTTCGTCGCCCTGTCCTCGTTCCTCTGCCGCACGATGCTGATTGGCGTTCGTGTCATCGGCACTGGTGCGGTCACCACTGCCACGCTGTGCGCGGGGCGTGCTGTGGTGACGGCAATCGTCAGCCACGAGTGCACTCGTGTCGCCGCCTGGGACTTGCTGGTGACGAGCACTGCTGCTGCTGCCTTTGCTGCTGC